GACAGGGATGGACAGGGATGGACAGGGATGGACAGAGGGATGGACAGAGGGATGGACAGGAATGGACACAGGGATGGACACAGGGATGGACACAGGGACAGGGATGGACAGAGATGGACAGAGGGATGGACACAGGGATGGACACAGGGACACAGGGATGGACACAGGGATGGACAGAGGGATGGACACAGGGATGGACACAGGGACAGGGATGGACAGAGGGACAGGGATGGACAGAGGGATGGACACAGGGATGGACACAGGGACAGGGATGGACAGGGATGGACACAGGGATGGACACAGGGACACAGGGATGGACACAGGGACAGGGATGGACAGGGATGGACAGGGATGGACAGGGATGGACACACCCAGTGTCACTTGCTGTCCCCAGGAATGTCCCTGCTCCCAATTCCCAATTCCCAATTCCCATCTCCCCCATTATCCCACGTTATTCCAGCCTCTCCCTCACATCCCTGCATGGCCTGAGCCCAAATTCCCTCATTAATTAATTGCTTGGGATCATTAATTAATTAATCATTAATTGAGGCGCCCCTGCACATTCAGCCCCTGGTGTTGTTTCAGGGATTCCATAAATCCCTGAAAATGCCTCTCCCTGCTGGTTCCCCCTGCCTGATTCCCGGGATCTTTGGGATTCAAATCCAGGGGAAAAGCTGGATCTGTTTAATTTGGGAATATCTGGATCCGTTTAATTTGGGAATTTGGGATTTAATTTGGGATTTAATTTGGGATCTGTTTAATTTGGGAATATCTGGATCCATTTAATTTGGAAATGGCTGGATCCATTTAATTTGGGAATATCTGGATCCATTTAATTTGGGAGTTTGGGATTTAATTTGGGATTTAATTTGGGAATATCTGGATCTGCTTCCAGGTAATTTTAACAAATAAACCAAGGAATTTAGGGCAGGAAAACCGGGATTTCTCATTTCCGGACATGCTGGAATTTTTCCTCATGGAATAACCAAGAACTCGAGGGGTTTTTGGGGCAAAACCAACCCAAAAAAAATCCCCATTTTCCATGAGAGCCACTGGAATGTCCCGGACCCTCCCAGGGGAAAATCCCGGATTCAAAGCTGGATTTGGGGCACAACTCAGCAATTCCAGGAGGGAATAATCCCAGGAAAAATCCCAGGGAAAATCCCAGGGAAAATCCCAGGGAAAAGGGGGGAATTGGGGTCTCCACTCCCTCCCTCGCCAGGCTGGGAACAGCTCGAGTGTCCAGGCGGGAATTCATTGAAATAAATTCCCATGGGGATTAATTCCGCCCATTCCCAGCGGGAAAACGAGGAGGATGAGGAGGCTCCTTCATCCCTTCCTTCCCACATTTGGGAATGTTCGGAGCCCCATCCCAAATTTCTGCTCTCGTGGTTGGAAATCCAAACCCTCCCAGAATTCCCGAATTTTCCAAGGGTTTCCCCCACAAAAAAATTCCCGTTAAGGAGGGAAATTTGGGATTTCCACGCTGGAAAAGCCGGGGATGGGGAGGGAATTTGCCTTCTCCGGGTTTTCCACGTGGATTTTTTTTTTTTTGGCAGCAAAAATCCACATTTTGGGCATAAAAAGAGGGATTTTGGGAAGGATTCTCCATCCTCACGGATCAGCTCTGCCATGGGGTGTCCCCAAATCCTTCCCCCAAAAACCAGGAATATCCAGGAGTGGGAAAAACCCCTCTTGGAACAATCCCCACCATCCCAAATATTCGGGAATCCCAGGAATTGCCAAATCCGTGCGGTTTTCCAGCTTTTCCAGCCCTTCTGGAGAGGATAAATTATAATTCCCTCCTATTTGATGGCACAAGAGCATTGAAAGGAGAAATTTGGGGATTTGGGATTCAAATTCCCGGGATGAAGAAATCCGGGATGGGGAAACGCTCGGAAACAAGAGGAGCAACGGAATTTTTTGGGTCAAATTAGGGGGAAAAAAGGAGAATTAAACCAAATTCTGGGCATGGAAAATCTGGGATTTCCGTTTTTATTTCGGAAAAGATTTTTTCAAAAATTATTTTTTCAAAAAATTTCCATTTTTTTTATTTTGGTTTTTAATTTTGAAAAGGAAAAATATCCTTCCCATCCGGGTTTTCCCGATTTTTGAGTATTTCAGGTCATTCCCAGCTCCCAGTGCCCTGCACCTCCTTTCCCTGTGGTTGGGAAATGTGGGAAAAATGTGGGAATTGGGCTCATTTGCATAAATTTGGAGCTTTTTAAAGCAGCCTGGGAATTCCGAGCTCGCAGGAATTGGGATTTTTTTAGGGATATCCCAAATTTTTTTGTTTTTTCCTGGAAAAGCTCTGCTGGCTGCTCACCTGTCCCCAGGTAAAGCCACGGGGGAAGGCTCCAAATATTCCCAAAATAATAGTAATAATAATAATAATAATAATAATAATAATAATAATAATAATAATAATAATAATAATAATAATTATTATTATTATTATTATTATTATTATTATTATTATTATTATTATTATTATTATTATTATTATTACAATGACAACAACAATGACAATAATTATATTATAAGAAGTACAATGACAACAACAATAACAATAATTATATTATTTATAATAATTATAATAACAACAATAACAATAATAATAATAAAATAAAAATAAAAATAAAAATAAAAATAAAAATAAAAATAAAAATAAAAATAAAAATAAAAATAAAAATAAAACAAATAATAATAATAAAACTCAGAAGAAAAAAATATTAAAACGAAAACCAACAAAAATTAGAAATGGAGAAATAAATAAATGAACAGATAAATAAAGGCATTTTAAAATAAATCAATTGAAGTAAATCAATTGGAATCAATCAATCAATTGAAATCAATCAATTGAAATCAATCAATTGGAATCAATCAACTGAAATAAATCAATATAAATCAATAAATTTAAATAAGTAAATTTTAATAAATACATAAATTTAAATAAGTAAATAAATAAATAGACAACATGTCAAATAAACAAATAAAATAAAATCAAAATTAATGAAATAAAGTTTTTTTTTCAAAGGTATTTTAGGGGAAATCCCTGTGCCTCAGTTTCCCCCTCCTCAGTGCCCGCTTTGCTCAGGCCGAGCTTTATTAAATTTGAGATTATAAAAATGAATCCATCATTAAAAAAAAGTTTAAATTAAAATGAATTAAAAAGAAATGAATAAAGGAATAAATGAAGGAATAAATGAAGGAATAAATAAAGGAATAAATAAGTAAATAAATGAATAGATAAATGAATAAATGAATGAATAAAAGAATGAATAAATAAAATAGAGTAAAATAAAGTAAAATAAAGTAAAATAAAGTAAAATAAAGTAAAATAGAATAGAATAGAATAGAATAGAATAGAATAAAAAATAAAATAAAATAGAATAGAATAGAATAAAAAATAGAATAGAATAGAATAGAATAAAAAATAAAATAAAATAAAATAAAATAAAATAAAATAAAATAAAATAAAATAAAATAAAATAAAATAAAATAAAATAAAATAAAATAAAGTAAAATAAAGTAAAATAAAATAAAGTTAAATTAAATTAAATTAAATTAAATTAAATTAAATTAAATTAAATTAAATTAAATTAAATTAATAAAATTAAATTTAATAAAATTAATTTTAAAAATATTTAAATTTAAAATAAATAAATAAAATTTCCCGGCCTATAAAGAAAAAAAAAAAAAAGGAGAATTTGATGAGAAGTGAAAAATAAAACTAAAATATAAAAATCCAGGGGAAAATCCCGGTCAGGAACCACCTCTGACCTTGACCCCCCGCGGCAGCTGGGCCGGAGCTCAATGGGAGCTTTGTCCCCTCCCGCCGGCCCCGGGCGGCCCCGTCGCTCCCAATAATATTTATGGATCCTCCGGAGTCACCTTGTCCCCCTCTCCCGCATCCCAAGGCTCCATCCAGAGGGATTTATGGCATTTCCAGCTGCTTTCGTCTCCTCTGGGCTGCCAGAGGATTTTTTTTCTCCTATCCCGTTTTTTTTTTTTTTCCCCATCCCAGTTATTTTTTTTTCCTCTTTTTTTTCCCCAAAAAATCCCAATTTTAAACCTCACAGGTGAGGGGGATTTTCCTGCTTTTCCTCTTTTTTTTTTTTTTTTTCCCCAAAAATTCTCCTTGATTTAAAAGCGAACACAGGGCAGAATTTTCCCATTTTTCTCACTTTTCCCAACTTTTCCAAAGCTCTTAAATCATGGAAAAGTGGAAAAAAAAAAAGGCAGCGCTGATTTGTTTAAAATTAAATATTACATTTAAATTTGTTGAATTTCGTTTCTCGCTGTTCAATTTCTTAAAAAAATAAAAAAAAAAAATCCAAAAAAATTCTGGATTTCCAGCTGGGAATATTTTCAAATCTTTCTTCCAGAGGCCACCCAAAAATTGGGAATTTGGGATCTGTCCTGAACCCACGGAAGTGCCCGGGAAGCTCCTCGGCATTCCCTGCTCCAAAGGAGATGATTTGGGATTATTTGGGATCAAATAATAATAAAAATAATAAAAATAATTAGCCAGGTGAAAAACCTCAAGATTTTGGGAGAAAGGGAAGAATCCAAATTTGGGAAATGACCCAAATTTTCTGGGATTTGGAAAATCCTAAAAAAAAAAACCGCAGATTTTCCATGAATAAAATCAAGAAGGGCTGGGGGTGAACCCAAGTTTTGGTTGAATTATCCCAAACTTCCCCCGAAAAAAAAAACCCAAAAAACAAAAGGAGTTGTGGATTTTTGTGGGTGGGAAATGAGGTTGGGATTGTTGAAATTCCCACATGGAAAAAGGCCGGGAATTCTTGGTTTGGATCAGACGGGAATCGGATCCTTCCCCATTTCCTGGGGGGAAAAATCCAGCCCGGAAAGGCTCCAAAGGCTCATCCCGGCCATGAATCCTCCTCCAGTTTTTGGGGATTTGGGATTTTGGGGCGGTTTCTGTGCATTCCAGGGGATCTCCCAGTGACCCAAACTGGGCTTTTTTTCCCGGTTTTTCCATCCTTTTCTGACGGATCCGCCGGGTTTTGTGCTGGTTTGGTGCTTCCTGATGGGAATGGGGCTGGGAATGGATTCTGGGATGTCTCCAAAGCTCCCTGCCTGGAAAATCCTCCTTTGGGGCTGTCCTGGAGCTGTGGGATCCAGGGATTTTCCTCTAGGCTGGGTGGGAATTTCATCTCCTGACCCCAAACACCGCACGGGAGAGAGGAGGAGGAGGAAGAGGAGGAAGGATGGAAAGAGCCGCAGAATTCCCGGTGATTCCCAGCCGGGAGCAGCTCCAAGCTCAGCCCCCAGGGGACCGAATCTTCCCCGGCGTCTCCTGCTCTCCCAGAGCCACTTCCAACCTTTTTCCAAGAGGAAAACGCTGGATTTTCCTCCTCTTCCTCGGCTGGGAAGGGCTTGGGGCGTCCTGCCGAGCTGTGCCTGCCTCTTCCCGGGGGAAGATCTCTCCTGAAAATCTCTGGCAGCTTCCAACGGCTCCTTCCTTGTCCCATTCCCTGTCCCATTCCTTGTCCCATTCCCTGTCCCTTTCCTTGTCCCCTTCCTTGTCCCATTCCCTGTCCCTTTCCTTGTCCCATTCCCTGTCCCATTCCCGGTCCCTTTCCCGTTCCCCATCCCGGTCTTTTTGGGGTCCATTTCCCAATCCCATTCCCAGTCCCTTCCCTGTCCCATTCCTGATCCCATTCCTGATCCCATTCCCCGTCCCATTCCTGATCCCATTCCTGATCCCATTCCTGATCCCATTCCCTGTCCCATTCCTGATCCCATTCCCTGTCCCATTCCTGATCCCATTCCCTGTCCCATTCCCACTCCCCTTTCTCCAGGGCTCCTCCAGGGAAACGCTGCCTGACACGGCCCCGGAGCAGCAGCAGAACAATCTGGAATGTCACCTGTGTCACCTGTGTCACCCGTGTGTCACCTGTGTCACTCTTGTGACCTGTGTGTCACCTGTGTGACCTGTGTGTCACCCCTGTCACCCCTGTCACCTGTGTCACCTGTGTCACCTGTGTCGCATGTGTCGCATGTGTCACCTGTGTGACCTGTGTGTCACCTGTGTGTCACCCTGTCACCTGTATCAGGTGTGTGACCCCATCACCTGTGTGTCACCCATGTCACCTGTGGCATCCATGTCACCTCTGTCACCACTGTCATCCATGTCACCTGTGTGACCTGTGTGTCACCTCTGTCACCCATGTCACCTGCGTGTCACCTGTGTCACCCCTGTCACCTGTGTCACCTGTGTCACCTCTGTCATCCATGTCACCTGTGTCACCTGTGTCACCTCTGTCATCCATGTCACCCCTGTCACCTATGTCACCTCTGTCACCTGTGTCACCCGCGTCACCTCCCTCCTTTCCCAACGCACCATGGGAAGAGCCGGGGGTGAGGATGCGATGCCAAAACCCCGGGATTTTTCAGGAAAAGCTGGAAAACCAGAGCTCCTTTTCCAGCGTTTGCTCTCCGTGCAGGGCGGGGCCACGGGGCCGTGGAATGTTCTGGAAACACCCTGGGTAAATCCAAGCGGGAAACACAGATTTAACCACAAAACAAAGAGTTAAAAAAACCCCAAAAAAACCCCAAAAACACCACCGGGACGAGCTTGGGACCTTCCCTGAACTCCCAAAAACCCCTGGGGAATCTCCCAGGAGCGATCCCGGGATCGACCTCATCTCCAGCTCGCCGAGCTCGGCATAATTATGGGGAAAATTGCAAAAACCCCAAAAAACCCCTCAAAACACCATCAGGACGAGCTTGGGACCTTCCCCGAGCTCCCAAAAATCCCTGGGGAATCTCCCGGGAGTTCTGTGGAGCCATCCCAGGATCAACCTCGTCTCCAGCTCGCCAAGCTCGGCATAATTATGGGGAAAATCACAAAAAACCCAAAAAAAACCCCTCAAAGCATGACAGGGACAAGCTTGGGACCTTCCCCGAGCTCCCAAAAATCCCTGGGGAATCTCCCGGGAGCGATCCCAGGATCGACCTCGTCT